CCTAATTTTAGGGCGATTGGAGCATGGTTGAGTTAATCCCCTCTAATATTGATTGATTAATTACTTAAATAAGATCGAGTAAAAGTAAATATTTGGAAAACTCGAATTAAGAATGTGTTTGTACTGTTGATTTCGCTTAACCATCACCTAATCAATTTTTGCAAAATGCAATTAAATTGAGTTCTCATGTTGCTCAAGTAAAGTGTATTAATATACTATATCTCTATATTGATTAATAACATTATAACACAATTAATCTCCACCTACCCCATCCACCCCAACCCTTGCAACTGCCACCACTACCTCCACCTATTGCTCCATCACCAACAAACCTGCTACATGTACATCCATTTTGTACAACTAGTTTGACACAATTAAACAGATGCATTTGTCAATTGATTTGAGTTTCTGTAATTCAAATTAGTTGGACAAAATCAATGTACAGCTAGTTTAATTCCCATCACCACTCCCTCATCCCCACACCATCGAATTTGGTTTCGCCATAACACCGATTTGAAAACTAAAACGTTTATGAACTCATATCTAATTGTATAACTTTATTTCATTGTTTTGTTCACTTGCAGAAACAATCAGAAATGAACTTCGAAAATCCTCTAAACGTGACTCCTTCGACACCATCATACCAATGCTGCAAGACAGATTTCGTTACCGACGTTACGTCAGGATAATGTTGGAGACATGTAATGGAATAATTTAATTTCTAACTTAAGAGTAACTTTTTGTCATTTTAACCCTACTTTTCTTACCCCAAATAGCAATGCAAAGCATGCATCAGAAGTTTGGTTCCCTCTGGGATAGATGGCCCAGATGAATCAATTCTTGCCTATGCATCGACGCCTCTATCAAGCGATATCTGGAAACAGACATTTTTCATAGTGCTTTGCGGGATGTGGATAGTTTATTCACCTCGAGGCAACGGTAGTCAGGTGGTAGCCTCATCCCTCAGCTTATGATCTGAATTCAGGTTGTTGAGATCCAGTCATTACAGTAGCATGGCTAATAATGTTCCATTTATCTTTCCCAACGAGCAACTTTCCCGTTGCAATTTTCACAATTCATAAATACCTTCTCAGATTTGTACACCACTTTTTGAATGTTAGATAAATTACATTCAAGTATAAAAGAAATAATTATTTTAATTAATAGGAAAGTCCAACTACGAATAATAGAGAAAACAGCTTTCTGGCTTCATTTCTGAACTTGCCAAATAGTCCCTTAACCAATCCCACATCGATTGAAAAATATAAGATAAATCAGTTTATAACTTGGTAACGCAACGCTGTCGTTCGCCGAGTTCAGTAACGCGAGCTTGTAACCCGAGTGGGGGCATTATGGTGTTGGGATACTGAGCTGGCTCTGATGGTAGGGCTTGGTGGAGCTTACTTCTGGCCCGCCCGTTCCAAGCTTAGAGTTGTAAAATGAGTAGAAGAATAAAAATGTGGCTCAAACAGGGGCTTAATTAGGAACTGAAGACGCAGTTAATATCGAAGATTCATTTGCAAAGATGGAAGAAATGCAACAGTACATAATAGTATAGCAATGGCATCTCAAAATGTAGTCATTTCCCACCCCTCATGTTTCTTAATAATCTTTGGCAACACACTGCAATACTAAATGCTAAGTAGTGGTCATGAGAGAGCATATAATTGCAGCTTATCTGTTGATTGTTGAGGTTCTATTTTTTTTCAAACTAATTGTCATAACTGATCTTCTTGAGCTTTGATTTCTTCCCATGAAAACTTTTGTGAATAAATTTAGGTTGTGAAAAGCTTTTCAATGGTTTTTTATGAGGTTAAGGAAAAATGAGATAATTAGATTGATTTTTTGGATTCTCCTAATTTTAGGGCGATTGGAGCATGGTTGAGTGAATCCCCTCTAATATTTGGAGCATGGTTGAGTGAATTAAGAATGTGTTGGTACTATTGATTTCGCTTAACCATCACCTAATCAATTTTTGCAAAATGCAATTAAATTGAGTTCTCATGTTGCTCAAATGAAGTGTATTAATATACTATATCTCTATATTGATTAATAACATTATAACACAATTAATCTCCACCTACCCCCATCCACCCCAACCCTTGCAACTGACTACCACTACCTCCACCTATTGCACCATCACCAACAAACCTGCTACATGTACATCCATTTTGTACAACTAGTTTGACACAATTAAACACATGCATTTGTCAATTGATTTGAGTTTCTGTAATTCAAATTAGTTGGACAAAATCAATGTACAGCTAGTTTAATTCCCATCACCACTCCCCTCATCCCCACACCATCGAATTTGGTTTCGCCATAACACCAATTTGAAAACTAAAAAGTTTATGAACTCATATCTAATTGTATAACTTTATTTCTTTGTTTTGTTCATTTGCAGAAACAATCAGAAATGAACTTCGAAAATCCTCTAAACGTGACTCCTTCGACACCATCATACCAATGCTCCAAGACAGACTTCGTTACGTCAGGATAATGTTGGAGACATGTAATGGAATAATTTAACTCCTAACTTAAGAGTAACTTTTTGTCATTTTAACCCTACTTTTCTTACCCCAAATAGCAATGCAAAGCTTGCATCAGAAGTTTGGTTCCCTCTGGGATAGATGGCCCAGATGAATCAATTCTTGCCTATGCATCGAGGCCTCTATCAAGCGATATCTGGAAACAGACATTTTTCATAGTGCTTTGCGGGATGTGGATAGTTTCTTCACCTTGAGGCAACGGTAGTCAGGTGGTAGCTTCATCCCTCAGCTTATGATCTGAATTCAGGTTGTTGAGATCCAGTCATTACAGTAGCATGGCTACTAATGTTCCATTTATCTTTTCCCAACGAGCAACTTTCCCGTTGCAATTTTCACAATTCATAATTACCTTCTCAGATTTGTACACCACTTTTTGAAATGTTAGATAAATTACATTCAAGTATAAAAACAATAATTATTTTAATTAATAGGAAAGTCCAACTACGAATAATAGGAAAAACAGTTTTCTGGCTTCATTTCTGAACTTGCCAAACAGTCCCTTAACCATTCCCACATCGGTTGAAAAATATACGATAAATCAGTTTATAACTTGGTAACGCAAGGCTGTTGTTCGCCGAGTTCAGTAACGTGAGCTTGTAACCCGAGTTGGGGCATTATGGTGTTGGGATATGGAGCTGGCTCCGATGGTAGGGCTTGGTGGAGCTTTCTTCTGGCCCGCCCGTTCCAAGCTTAGAGTTGGGCCTTGAAGGTTGGGCGAATGCTTGGGCCTCGTGGTTCTTAGAGAGGAGGGCAATGCGTCAGGCTGGTTTCACAGGGCAGCGAAAACTTCCCGCTCTCGGCAGTGGAAGGATAACGGGTCGGTGCACTCCAAGTCCAATATTACCTGAAGGGCCAGCTCCCTATTAGACCAACACTTTTTGTCCTTTTTTTTTTTTTTCATTCTCTGCTTATATAACACATGATTATGCATTGGGTGTTCGAACACTCTTGGAGGTGGGCTCTTTCTTGGAAATCAAAGAAACAAATTTGTATAACACACTCAATTATGGAATCTGAATTTGTAGCATTATCGGATACCGAGAAAGAAGTTGAGTGGCTTAATGATCTCCTATATGAGATACATTTGGGACCGAAGAACACGTCTTCGATATCTATCATGTATGATAGTCAAGCCACATTAGCAAATGCATACAACGAGGTATACAATGTCTAGACATACGAGTCTAAAACACGACTACATAAGGAAATTAATAAAAAGTGGAGTAATTTCCTTAAATTATGTGGCGTCGATTGAAAATTTGACGGGTCCTCTAACTAAACCTCTAAATTGAGAGTTAGCGAATTCTACTTCAAGTAAGATGAGGTTAGAACTCTTGAACTAAAAAAGTCCACCAATGATGACAATCCTACATGTCATTACTCAAAAGGTAATTCACGGGGTCAAAGGGTAACAAGCGCCCAATTGGAAGTATTTCTCACCCGAAAACTGTAGCGCCCCTGCGCCAAAACGACCGTTGGGAGTCGGTTTTTCTCCAATTTCAATTTTTTTGATTTTGAACAACATTTACAACACTTGTATCATCTCAGACTCTTCAACACCCGTTATCCTATCCTAGTAACAGATTTTCCTGCTCAATTTAACACCCGTTATTCCACATCCTCACCCTTTTTTTTTCATTTGCATGCTCCACAACTTTTAAATGTTTCCTGTCATTTTCTTGGAATAGAAAAAGAGTTCTTGAATTTTTTACCATCGTCTCTTTCAAAGTCATAATTCTCAGGAATTCAAGAAAAAGGAAAACTAAACTAAAATTTGTAGAAAGAAATAAGAACGTGGAGTGATTAATTACACTAGAACTTGGGCTGGTGTTTCTCGAAAAAAGGCTCAGTTGAATCTTCAAGAACCGCCGCTGCCACCACTGACCCTCTCCCTTCCGACGAAATACACGAACATACTGTCTCCTGGTATATCTATACATGCCATTATTTTTTTTATCAACTTATGTGAGCTTGGTTGTGGGATATGGAAGTTTAACCTGATATTTAAAGATGTATCTTATGATGAATTTTGATGTTTCTTTTCAATTTTTGGTTAGATTTTCGATTGGGCAGCTCACCATTCTTAATATTTTTTTGTTATGCTGAACTGAGCGCAAGTTATTTTTCTAAATAATAGTTTCTTGGATTACGGTTTTGGGATTCTGATTTCTGTCGTTCTTTTGAATTCATAATTTGTGAGTCTCATTTTTTATGGGTCTGCTTTTTCTATTGGCACAGGTTAATACTGGTTTAAATCATTATATATATTATCCATTTTGTGAGTGAAATCTTTAGCAATTTAGATCAAAGTAATTGCACAAGTGACGATGTGAAACACGATTAAAATGATGCTGAGATACTCAGTTTAGTGTTTGATCAATGACACGTTTCTTGTGCCGAAATGACTTAACCCATTCTGCATCAATACTAGGTTATGAACTTTGATGCAAGATGTATCATGGAAATTTTCCTGTGAATCTTTCCAAGTTCTTCAAGAAGGAACCATCTGATTCCGGTGATGGTTCCATACGTTGCGACTGTGCATCTATTTGTAGGAACCGGTAAGTAAAATGAAAGCTTTGCCTGTTTTAATTTACACATCCGATGTACAACTCTGTAATTTGTTTTCCTGCAGTTACTGTCGATGCTTTACTGCTTCGAAGTTTTGCACGAAATATTGTACTTGCCATTGGTGTTTGAACAAACCTCAACGTCAAGATCTTCAGCGCATCAATGAGCTTCCAGCATATAATCGTGGCCGACGGGGAGGTATTTGCATTATTATCTTAGTCTGATTTATACATTTTGAATGATTTACACATCTTGAATAGTTTATAAAATATTTGCTTCGGTTTTGTTTATGATCGATACTTGTCCATAATAGGAGCTCTAAGTTTTTTGAAATTTGATATTTGGAAATGATTAAGTTGTTCATTCAGAATCTTGAAGATGCTGACGTTTTGGATAGTAGGTGTGTCTCAATCAGACTCTTGTTCAGGGGTCGAAGATGAAAAAGAAGAAGAAGAAGAAGAAGAAGAAGATACATATTGGAAAGATTGGTGTAGAGAGACGGGAAAATACTCTCCTTGGAATGTTCCATGCGTTAAACAGAAACAGAAAGAAACTTCTCCCAAGGAATCTGTTGGTGAAACCCCACTGAGGAGTCGTTCAAAGAACTCTAAATCTGAAAGTAAGAGTATCAGCTTAGAAGAATCTCCTATCAGGAAAAAGAGAGAAAACAAGTCTAAAAGTAAGAACAGCACTTCAGATAAAAAGCGAAAGAAAGAGTAGTGGAAAGATTAAGGTAGATCATGGACCAGAGCCTCCACCAAATCCTAAATAAGAAGGGAGTTTCACCTCCTTGTGAGCATTCTAAAAAAGATGACTGTCAAGTCAAGATGATCACAATTTCATTACTATGTTTTCTCGATTTTATTGGTTGTCGTTGATCGTGACGAGCTGTTTAATATTTTTACATAGGTTACTATCAGCAGAGAGCTTTTTGTCCATGGGAACTGAAAGTAAAAATTGTGCCAGGTAATAGGTATAGAATGTTTACCTTCATGAAAGAGGCATGCTGTTACTTATACGGTGACCTATAATGAGGCTGTTTAACTCTCATAATTAGGAGTCGAAGACGTGATTAAAATCGGGGATATATTCGCAAAGATGGAAGACATACAACAGTATGGTATAGCAATAGAATCTCAAGATTCAGTCCTCGTTTCTTAATATTCGATGTTTCTATAGGCAACACATTGGATACAAGAAAAGTTTTCATTATTTGGTTGTCTCTTGATAAAAGTAAATGCTATGGAGGTTATTACAGAACTTAATTGCATCTTATTTTCCGGTTGTTGAGGTTCTATTGTTGCTACCTATAATGTTTGCTCTTAACTGGCAATGCTGCTTGATATCTCTTGAAAGCTTCTACTCTGTTACAAAGCTCCCTGTTTGATGTCTTTGATTAACTCCATCATAGTGTCCATTGTGCTTATGTCAGTGAAAAGTCTGTGAAAATCTTTTCTTTCCAAAGGAGTAACCTTTCCATTACAAATATTCATGATTCATAAATTCCTTCTCGGATTTTGTACACCATTCTTGAACATTAGATTAGATATATCAGTTATGAATAAAAACAATAATTATTTTAATTAATAGGAAAAACAGTTTTCTGGCTTCATTTCTGAACTTGCCAAACAGTCCCTTACCCATTCCCACATCGGTTGAAAAATATAAGATAAATCAGTTTATAACTTGGTAACGCAAGGCTGTTGTTCGCCGAGTTCAGTAACGTGAGCTTGTAACCCGAGTGGGGGCATTATGGTGTTGGGATATTGAGCTGGCTCTGATGGTAGGGCTTGGTGGAGCTTACTTCTGGCCCGCCCGTTCCAAGCCTAGAGGTGGGCCTTGAGGCTTGAGCGAAAGCTTGGGCCTCGTGGTTCTTAGAGAGGAGGGCAATGCGTCAGGCTGGTTTCACAGGGCAGCGAAAACTTCCCGCTCTCGGCAGTGGAAGGATAACAGGTCGGTGCACTCCAAGTCCAATATTACCTGAAGGGCCAGCTCCCTATTAGACCAACACTTTTTGTCCCTTTTTTTTTTTTTTCATTCTTTTTTTCATTCTCTGGTAAATAACCCAATATATTTAATCTTCCATTTTATATTTCAAATTTGAATCTAAATCCAAATGGATTCACCCTTGCCAAGAACAAGTATCATCATGTTCTGAAAGAAGCCAAGCATTTGAGATTTGATAAAAATCTCTATTAACTTAGAAAGTATTAGAGTTTGAGTCGATTTGATATTTGTAGTTCGCGACATTTTGGGCTTTTTTTGTTTCTATTCTTTGTTTTTTTTGAGTTCGAGTTTGAGTTCTCTTTCATAATCAAAATTAGGGTGATAGAATAATTACTTCAAATATTGTTTTGAATGAAAAATTCTCGTGTTTGAAATCTATTGGACTCAAATACTTGCCTTCGTTTGATTAATATACATAATTATAGAGGTTAAGAGACATTTTCTCTAGTAACCGCATCCACCAATACAATTTATTAACAATGCTAATCAACGTTTTC